AAAAAAAATTTAGAAGCGTCATAATTTTTAGGATATTTTACAAATCAGCAGATATGATATGCTTACAATATATTTTGACAATATATATTCCAAGAAGATCTAGACTATGCAGTAAATAGATCTAAATATAAATTAGCTAGCTTAAGCAGTTAAATATAGTGATGATGTTAGTTTGAGATGAGGAAAAGGGTTAATAATCAGAATGTTTAAATAGGTAATTTATAGATGAGTTGCAGGTATAGTAGCATAGTGTAGAACTAATAGATAATCTATTGTTTGTATGGTAAACTACTTAAATTAGATAATAACTAAAGTTGTATGTATAGCTAGAGCTTACAAATTCTTTATTCGAATAATATTTGAATAATTTAGATTAACAAATATCTATTCAAATATTTGCCAAATGACTAAATTATTCAAATAAATACTATTTTATTCGAATAACATATAGTTAGATATAAAGTAGCTAATAATATATAGTTACTATATGTGAAGCAGCCAATAATATGTAGTTACTATGTGTGAAGTAGCTAATAACTAAAGTTTTATATGATGAATAATAAAAATTATTCAAATAAATTTAGTTATTCGAATAGGATTTGTTATTCAAATTATTCATCAGATAATTATTTATTCAAATATTTACCAAATATGAATATTATTTGAATAATGAATACAAATACAAAGCTCTACATATAGCTTGTTGTATACTTATTATGTAACTATAAAACCTTAGAAAACTATTCATGTAATAGTTCCATAATAACAAACTAATAAAATCTAATTAGCTAAGGAAGTAGCCTTAATAACAAAAAAAAAAAAGAATTTAATGATATAAAATTTATTTGATTCTAATTACTAGAACTTAAGATATATCTATTTAAAAATCAAAATTTAAAACTTCTTACTGATATCAGACTTATTCAGATTAACCAAATTTCATAATTTTGATTAGTTAAAAGTAATAGATGACTATCAGATAATCTTATGATATACTTGGCCTCATATAATTTTTCTTCTATATTATTTCTATTTTTCATTAAGCAAATTGACTTTTATTTATTATTGAAAAATATCAATCATATCAAAATATATATGAATTTAATAAAAACTCATTTTTTTAAAAAATATAAAAATAAGCCTTTTTAGTTGATGACACTTCATATATAAGATATAAATTAAGTAATAAGATATTAGCTTTACTGAATACAGAACACCTCTAGTATATGCAAAAACTTAAAAAGACAAGTCTTTGTTGTAGAGCAAATAGTTCATATGCTGAAAACATGTAATAAAATTTGAAATAGCTAGAAATATCAGGCTAGTAGTAGCAATACAACATAGTCAGCAATATTATTGTTCAGATATTAACAGAATCTGTTTACCTAACTTTTATTTAATAATTTATGTATTATAAAACTATAAAGGTAACAAAAAACAATAAAGATTATTAATATGCTTTTTATTAGTTGTTCAAAGTTTATCATGTAGCATAGTGTTTATATATTCCCAATGATATCCACTAGCATGAGTTAGACATCCTCTACATACTTTACTAATACTCAATTGAGCAATCCCAGTTATGCGTTATGCTTCAGTCAAGGATGGAAATTCTTGAAAATGATCTATTATTAAAAATCTGTTTAATAGCACACTAATGCATCCAACCATCCTGAGATCTAAGATACACTGCATATTGTATATTGTCATTGGATGAACACCACTTGAGATTAAACTCTTTGTTGTTGTAGAATCCCATCAATATGGTTCACAAATTCTTTGCCTACTTCTTTAGGACAGAATGCTAATGTTACCAAACAGTGAATGTGATATTTGTGAACATAACCAATTCGATAATATCCTGCATATAATGATTTATGAATAATCAAACCATTGGTTAATTGAACTCTTCCTAAAGATGAAAACTGAATTTTCGTAAATTAATTTCTATTTCTCTCCATTCTTCATCAGGATATTTTTTTATATAATCTTTATAATACGTCCACTGGCAGTATTTTGCTTTCCACTACAAAATTCTGAAATGCTATTTCCTGTGATTTTAAGTATATTGTCTGCAAGATAAATAGAATTCCAAATTTGAATAACATTCTCATCCAATGTTTTCTGAATAATTCGCCTAGAACTACTATAACCACGATTTGGAAATACTTTATTTTCTAAACTTACCTTAGGAGTTACCCATTCTAAATTAACAGCCAGATTATCATATTTGATGCCATTAATGTGGTTAACGTAAGGTTTATTTTCTGGGTTAGAGATGAAAGCTTGTGCAACTAAGATATGGACACTAACTGATGTATGAATACTATTGATTCTTAAATCAATCCGTATAAAACCACTTCTTTTGTAAACATTTCCTTTTAAAATCACACCTTTATTGTTCTTAATACATCCAAGATTAGATATTAATTTATCCGAATCTGCTATAGGTAACCAAATTTCCATTATAGTTATAACATTTGTTACTTATAATGAATCATTTTTTTAATGTTATATGATGCAGGAGCTAGATATTTATTTACTGTATGTTGGATCAGGTCCTGTCAATTTTTTTATGTAGTTTCGATATCAAAGAATAGAAATGAAGAAGTTCACCAAATTGGGCCTTAATTTTTTTCAGTAATATAAATTTTTATTTCTGAATTTCATAATCCAGTTTTTTTTTTTTTTTTTTTTTTGCTAATAACATAATCGATATTTAATATTGAGCATAATGGTTATACTGTATCAGTATTATACCTAAACTGATTAATATTGAAATGAAATATCAAATCTTTACAATAAGCAGTTAAGTATATCATTAAAATAGATATACGCCCTGCAACCAAGAATTATATGCTCGTTCCATTACATTTTGTACCATTACACTGCATTAAAAACCGTACCTACAGCCCAATGACCAAGATATAGCACTCTTGAGGGACGAGTTGCCTTTGGCACTGTAGCTACAACTGAATCAACGTCAGGATTTGGATTTGTTTGAAAGGGTGATGTCCCAAAAGGAATAACAATTAATACAAATTCAGTGTTTGAGCAATATGGTTGAACATATGAAATCTTATGTAATGAGTGATCATGATCACTAGTCATCTGTAATATTTAACAACTTAAGAAAAATTATTAAGAAACGATTACACATTTCTACAATAGAAACAATTTTTACCTCGATCCATAATAAAGGAGGTGGTGATGAATTAATAATAGGTGCAATCTTTTGCTGACGCGTTGGTCGTATGTTCCATCCCCCTATGTCAGGTCTAAATTTATTACGATTAACTACCGATACCACATCATTTAGCACCAACCAACCTGGAAGTTGTTGACGAAGCAAATCATTCAATGCGAGATGTATTTCTCCTTTCATTCCACCATTAAACTGAGTAAATAGTACAAAGATCAGAAAATAAAGGTTATACATATAATCTAAGACAAAAATGCTCACTTTGATGAACAGTTTATCATCAATCCTTTCAGCTTGGAAAATGTTGTGAATAGCTTCAAGAACTTTCTCACGTTTTTTAACTTTAATTGATAGTAAATCTATTTCTATAATATCTAAATCTAAATCATCATCAGAAATCTTTTCCCTCGCAAGTTTAAGCTCTTCTTCTATTTGATTAAATAATGAATTGCTAGTATAATTTATTCACTATATTTTTCAAGTAATATTTAAATACCTTCGTCTCTTCGCTTTTCATGAGATTTTGAATTATACTTTTTAGAGATAGTGTTTTGACCATACTCTGTATGAATTTTTATATAACGTTAGTGGAAATGAATAGTTGCTAATCAATAGCAAGAAAACATGAATAATAATACTTGTCCACTGTTTAAATGACCATTACTACTGGATTCCGGTTAGGGATGTTAAATTGCGAATCCAGTCCGGTCCGATCCTAGGATTTAAAAGACAGTCCTGGACTCGATCCTTTAAATCACATGAAAATACAATACATTTTATAGGACTTAGATCCTAAATTGAATCTATAGAATAAGTCCATCCAATCAAATTAATTTTGTATTGTTATAATAATTCAATTCAGGATCCAAGTCCTATAAAATGTATTGTGTTTTCATGTGATTTAAGGACCGAGTCCTTACCAATCCTGCAGGTCCTTGTAAGGACCGGTTAGGATTCGGTCCCAAAAGACCGATTAACATCCCTACGTTCTAATGTGTTTATTGATATTTAATCAAGCAATTAGACAGTATGTTATATATAGCTCCTCTATCTCAATATCTAGCTTAGCTGCTTCCTGAAGTACTTTTAGAGCTAAGTTGTGTTTATGTATATAAAATAACGATAAAAATAATTTATCGTTATCGAGTAATTTCATACGCTGATTTGATTTTTTTGATTCACCCCGTTTCACAAAAGCTATTTTCTAAATAAAATTCCTATTTTTAAATAGAAATTGTCCGACAACTTGGGAATCCCGGAATTATCGTGTTTTACCAGTTGATCCGATTACAGCTATTTTTATTATTCCTGGGACACTTGATTAAAAATTAGACTATCGGTGTCCCAGGAATAATGAAAATAGCATTTTATAAAAAAATTTTCGATGCAAAGTTAGTAGTGCTCCGAACAGGTCGGGTTGAAAAACTTTCGGGTTAGCGCTTCAACCCAACCGAACCCGACACGAAATTATTAAGCTATGGTGCAGAACCTCCAGCCATATCACGAAATAATTGATTGCATTAAAAACTTAATTGCAGCAGTTGACGCAATTTAATATGAAATTTATATAGAACAACAATCTCGTACTATATAAAAATTATATAGTAAAACCTGAATTATATATATATATATATTTTTTAAAAAATTAAAATTTTTTTAATAAAATAATAGAATATTGGTATATGTATATATAACTTAAAAATAATTTTTTAATAATACTCTCATTCATTCGTGAACTATCAATTGATAACTTTTTAAAAAAAAATATTTTTTTTTTAAAAAAACTTTTTATATCAGATATTATATTCTTTAAAATCTAAAGAATACAAATATAGAGAGCTTTTTTAAAAAAAGTCTTTTATTAAGAAGTTATTAAGGTTTAAAAATACTAAGTTATAGTTTAAAAATTTCAGCACTATTATAAAAAAATTGACCAATCATATTCTAGAGGTAGGGTTGTGTTACAAAAATTACAAACTTACATTACTTGTAATTTTACGTAAGTTTCAGTAAATCGAATTACACGT